TAGTAAAAAGATGTAATTATTTTAAATTATGTGAAATGATTTAAAATAGTTCATGCACAATATTATTAAACATACATATATCATAATTAAAGATTTTTTTCATCATTAATATTAGATAAGCATACTATACATTGTTTTCAAACTTTATTTAAATATACAAAATACTTTATTAAGAAGCATCGCATCAACAAATATTTCTAGAATTGCTAACATAGGTAACAAATTAACATAAATTCCTGTGTGTTTGTTTAGTTAGTGTTGACTACAAGCAAAAACATATCCATTTCCTTGATAATGGCCACGAGAAATGATAAAATTTCATGAATACCGCACGTCTCTTCGGCTTTCAACACAAGCTGGAATTTAATCAATGTTCCACCCCATCTTTCTCACCCCTTGAAAAAATTCTTTACAAATTCTTGAGTAACAAAACATCGTATTTATCAATATTTTACAAGTCGAAGCAATTTTAAAGAAGTGAGACTTCCGGAAAAATAGTGTCCATGAAATTTTGTGCTAAGAAACCGAAATGAACATTTGATGCAATTAGATATATGAGAATAAATATGAAGATATTCTCAATTAATAATATAATAGCATAATATAGTACACACAGATGTAATTATTGTAATAATGTTAAGATTTGTATTCAATCAATTTTTTTACAAAAAGTAAAAGAAAATTCTGACTATAATTCTCGATTACACCACTAAATGTTCGTATCTATTTATTTATAGCAAATGTGATATTTAAGCAACTATTTTGAAGTATTTTCAAGTATCAATATTTATTAATAACTATTTGTGTTGTACGATAAATTCGATTTACTTTGCTTTTCATTTCGCGAAAAGATTATCTGTAAAATCTTTTAATAAAAAATTTACAGATTGGTATTTGTTTCGTATTTATAAATAATTTTATATGTAAACAGAATTGTTATAGAACTTTGTGTTTCTAGTAAAAACTCATTTTAGAAATAATTTTTTACCCTTCAAGAATTTTTTCTTCCTCTCGTTGTCCCGACAATTATGTTCTACCTATACATAGGGTACGCTCAATTATACACACGAATAGTTAAGTCATGTTCGAGCAAATCGAATGATACACCCCGATGGACATAGTTCGATCACCTGCAGCAGTGAAACAATATTTGCGAGCAATGTACCCCCGTTTCCGGCAATTTATAAGATAGCATATCGCTATTTAGATATGAAGGACCTCTGGAGAGGAGAAGTAACTCACAAACGCAGCTTGCCGCGAGAACAAGGAGATTGTACTTTGAACAAATATTCGAGTCGATTGAATCCAGAAGCTTTCGANTAGTAAAAAGATGTAATTATTTTAAATTATGTGAAATGATTTAAAATAGTTCATGCACAATATTATTAAACATACATATATCATAATTAAAGATTTTTTTCATCATTAATATTAGATAAGCATACTATACATTGTTTTCAAACTTTATTTAAATATACAAAATACTTTATTAAGAAGCATCGCATCAACNTAGTAAAAAGATGTAATTATTTTAAATTATGTGAAATGATTTAAAATAGTTCATGCACAATATTATTAAACATACATATATCATAATTAAAGATTTTTTTCATCATTAATATTAGATAAGCATACTATACATTGTTTTCAAACTTTATTTAAATATACAAAATACTTTATTAAGAAGCATCGCATCAACAAATATTTCTAGAATTGCTAACATAGGTAACAAATTAACATAAATTCCTGTGTGTTTGTTTAGTTAGTGTTGACTACAAGCAAAAACATATCCATTTCCTTGATAATGGCCACGAGAAATGATAAAATTTCATGAATACCGCACGTCTCTTCGGCTTTCAACACAAGCTGGAATTTAATCAATGTTCCACCCCATCTTTCTCACCCCTTGAAAAAATTCTTTACAAATTCTTGAGTAACAAAACATCGTATTTATCAATATTTTACAAGTCGAAGCAATTTTAAAGAAGTGAGACTTCCGGAAAAATAGTGTCCATGAAATTTTGTGCTAAGAAACCGAAATGAACATTTGATGCAATTAGATATATGAGAATAAATATGAAGATATTCTCAATTAATAATATAATAGCATAATATAGTACACACAGATGTAATTATTGTAATAATGTTAAGATTTGTATTCAATCAATTTTTTTACAAAAAGTAAAAGAAAATTCTGACTATAATTCTCGATTACACCACTAAATGTTCGTATCTATTTATTTATAGCAAATGTGATATTTAAGCAACTATTTTGAAGTATTTTCAAGTATCAATATTTATTAATAACTATTTGTGTTGTACGATAAATTCGATTTACTTTGCTTTTCATTTCGCGAAAAGATTATCTGTAAAATCTTTTAATAAAAAATTTACAGATTGGTATTTGTTTCGTATTTATAAATAATTTTATATGTAAACAGAATTGTTATAGAACTTTGTGTTTCTAGTAAAAACTCATTTTAGAAATAATTTTTTACCCTTCAAGAATTTTTTCTTCCTCTCGTTGTCCCGACAATTATGTTCTACCTATACATAGGGTACGCTCAATTATACACACGAATAGTTAAGTCATGTTCGAGCAAATCGAATGATACACCCCGATGGACATAGTTCGATCACCTGCAGCAGTGAAACAATATTTGCGAGCAATGTACCCCCGTTTCCGGCAATTTATAAGATAGCATATCGCTATTTAGATATGAAGGACCTCTGGAGAGGAGAAGTAACTCACAAACGCAGCTTGCCGCGAGAACAAGGAGATTGTACTTTGAACAAATATTCGAGTCGATTGAATCCAGAAGCTTTCGAGTTTGCGAACGATAGAACGACGATTCAAGGAGAAAGCTTGTTGCACTCTTTAGAAAAAGAGAGTCTCGAAGGAGATTCTAGCCAGCAGCCTATATCGACGATCCTTGAACATTATCGACTGAACCAAGAAATGGAACCGATTGTCGGCAGTTACCAACACGAGTGTAACGAAAATCTCGACGTATATTTCAAGGCTGTGGGTATGTTGAAACCAGCGAGTCAAAATGATTGCAGTACACCATACGATGGCAGCAAAAATAAATACGATCTATGAAAGAAGAAACGCGACGTTTGGTCTCGATTTTGAACCCCAGTTTCCGTTTCGGAGACTAAAAATCGCACAAGGTTTATTCTCTTATGATACACTCTGTTTTTGGAATGTTTACTTTCATTGGAATCTACTGGTAATAGAAATTTAATTGTTTACACGCGTAGCGTGTACGATTTATTGAATAAAGATTTAATATATCGATAATCTTGTATATTTCTGACCTCTTGTTTTGCCTAATATTCTATGTATATTTAGTCGTAGACATAACTGGCAAGAAAGCTTGAATCATTTATATTAGGTTGAATCATAAATAATTCTTAGAATGAAAGTCAAGAGATGCATTTATCCTAATGACTCATCCTCGAACTGTCTGATAAATAGCAACAAGTCATTCCGAATGCTGGCAATTATCATATAATTGATTAGGATATAATTATTCATTTTACATTATCAATAAATAAAATTGTTATACTGTAACGAAAATTATTTATGTCTCGATCTAATTAGATTCTCATCGTTAGAATAGGTATCCTAAGTTTGCGACATCGTTCCCCTCTCCTCTTATTTATCATTAGTCGATAAATTAAAGTAAACAAATTCGAATATAATAAAGTGTTCCATTAATTGTTGATAAAAAGAATCTATATTAGGTGTTTCACTTGCATTCGTACTAACATATCACATAAACCGCTATTAATTAGAAATACATTGTTAACGTATACGAGTTTTAATCAATTTATATCTTTTTTATTTAGATGAACGTAAAAGTTGATTTTATAGTGAGTTTAACGGAATTATCCCGTTACGCTATCGCGACAAATTATACGAACTATCGATAATGCGATTGGAAAGGATTAAAATCTAATCTGCTTTCAATATTGAATTTCATTATAGTCGAAATTTGAAGTCCGTTAGCTGTGTGTGAAGAGACATTACGTGTTTATGTGTCATTTGTATTTATGTGGTGTACCGTCTGCTTTTGGGTAGAGTGTTACTACATAGAAGAGAATATATACATGTATGTATATATAGTCTAGTGACAGTTTTAGTCGGTCCGGTTGTCAACAAAGTGATACGGAAGTATGACGTTACAGAGGATGGCGTTCTTTTGGTATGTTTCATTTACATCTCTGTTTCGCGTTCATATGACTTTCCGCAAAGCTGGAGAGACTTCAAAGGATTGCAGCGGAACACACTGCTTAGAAAAATCAAAGAATATTCTTTCCATTTTTTATTATTAAACATGAAAATGATGAAAAGTATGCCGGGAATGTTAAACAAAATTGTATGAACGATTGAACAATACGATGTCAATTATGAAATGTGGATAGTAACAAATTACTTTTCATAACAGCAGCATGCAAATTGATTACTGAAACTTGACTCAATTAGAGCAATTACATTTTTCGTAATAACTTCTCCCGCTATCAATTAATTATAATTGATAACTATAATTCACATCTCTTACACGGATTAAAAATGATTTAACATTTAAACTTTTCCGGTCGAAATCCGGGATATTCTTGGCAACGCTATGTTAACTGTTCTACAATAATGTAAAATTATAAAAATATAGAAAATGATTGATTCAACGTAAATCGTTGAAAGTATTGTAACTAACAAAAGATAAATGTCCCAAAATAATCCATCCGCAAAAGGTACAGTTTTGTATCTTCAAAAATATTTTAAAGAAAGCAAATATTTTATGTTTATATTTCAGCATTACACATAAAATCATGTCAGTTCGGATATTAATGCGTCATTCACTATTTATGGTAACCTTCGAAAGCACTGCATAGTGGTCATTTCTGGCCAAAATCCAATTTTTCAACTGCAACTTTATGATGAAATTCTTTCTTTTAATGAATTAACAATTTTCTAGATATTCGAAATTCTCATCGATGATATTTTTATGAGATATAAATGTTTAATTATTTGAATAATAGTAGATATGCTGTTGTAAATATGAATATTGTAATTGAATTTTGTGATGTAACAATTTCACATTGTTAGGGGGACTGGTCAAGTATAAAATCTCTATTTTAAATATTTTTCATAATATTTATAATCACGATGAAGAGGATAATGTTTTTATACTTTGTTTAACTGTCCTGCTATTTTTTCGTAACTGCCAATTCTGTTGATGACTTTCCAAACGCACAAATCGAACGACAAAAGGATGACACGCAGGACAGAACAAAGGCTCCGTAAAAAATATCTACAGTTGCCAGAGAAAAAGGCTGCGGATCGATCGTAAACGTTCCTACTGTAATTTAGAGCATGTGCCCCGCCTTCTTTTATTGTTTGTCACGTGTTACACGAGATGACAAATGTGGATAAACAATGAATGTATCGTCGTTGTACGAGATAAAAATAAACTCTTGGTTAATCAAACACGAATGCATATGTTATTTTTATTCAGAATCACAGCGACACGATGTTATTCGAACGAAAATATAAAAATTATTCCAATTCGTCAATTGATGAGAACAGTGTGGTGTCTAATGACATTCGACGCCACCGGCTGCAATGAAAACTATCAACAAATAAACACGATCGATGCCTACCCACGCGTTCATACAATACAAATATCGTTATTTGAAAAATCATTCACTTACATTTGGTTGAGGTACTGTAGAGTCACGTTAATGATCTCACCGACGATCTCGGCGTCTGTCACACTGTACGAACTCACTGTGACGGGCAGCTGATCGTTCGGATCCACCTTCTTGATGAATTCGATGAAAAAACGCTTATAAGCGTCGATGGAATCGGCATCGATGCAATCTTCCGCCATGGTTTACTATCCCCGTGAAAAGACAAATTGACGAACACGCGCACTTTTCCTCTGCACAAAGCACAACCCTTCACCACAGGACAGCAACTCTAACCGCTTGACGGAGAAGACGTTAAACACGATACAATTCGGTGAGTATATCTTGACGAGTTAGATTACCGCACACGGAAACACTAGAACGGAAGTAAGGGAGAGTGAATGTGTATGTGCGTACGTATTTCTATATATGTTTTTCGATTGCAGATCAAAACTGCCGGTTTCTTTTATAATCGTGCTGTAATCAATCTAATCGGTGATAGGTGATATTTGTATTTAGGTTACGTCACTCGCTCAACATCGCGTAAGCACGTAACACTACAGGCCCGATAGAACGACGCGTTCCTCTGGTGTGCGTTTCTTAGAGAAGTGGGGAGGATTTGCCGCGACGTTTAAAACACTATCTCTCCCGCTTCTTTAAGTCCGGCGTCGCTTTTTACCTTTCCTTTTACCACTGGCCACTTGCGGATTGACTTTCGTAACGGAAGAAAAGTGCGTAACGGAATTCACCGAGTAGTATACTGCGCATGTCCGATACGGAGCATTGCGTTCGTTGTTTCGGATACATGTAGGTACATGTGCACCACATGCTACACCACCTTTTCTTTTTTATTACACGCAATTGTTATTATTCTTCGCATGAACTTACGCCAGTGTGTAAGTATTTTCTTTTTATAATCGTTCCTTTCGGATTTCTTGATTACACTGATTATACTTTTACGCACAATTGATTGACACGCAGCTTTTGAATTTCCAGAAGAATGCCGCGTCAAGTTTCGATTTAGAATTCATTTATAACGTTATCCATCGTTTAACTTCAATTTTAGTGTCTTTCAAAGATTTCTTATCTTTTATCTTATTCAATTTTATCGGATGACTAAATATGAACGTTTACAGTATATTGCACTTAATTTAGTTTGTACCGTGAAGGAATTCCCGCCATATGAATACGACATTCTTAAGATATCGACTAAACCGTAAAATAATTTGTTATTCTAAACTATGAAATATATTTCTTTATTCCTCCACAAAAAACTATCATAATAGAAATTTATAATTCTTTTAATTTTTCATATGCATCCATATTTATATTGTTTTACAGTTGATTAAATCATAACCTACATTTATAAATTCATAAACTGGAATCAAATATTTTACTCTGTGTCATACAGACAGATTACCTTATTACGTATCCTTAAAATATCTTTCTTCAGGTTAATTGTATTATAGACTTCGTTTTTATTAATATTATTATGTTCAGTAAGAATTATTATCTTAAAGTAAATGTGATTGGAAAATATTTTTTAAATAATTTATTAATGAAATTAATAATATACAAAGCTACTACACATACCTACTGCAGTATTTAACTACTAAATTGAGAGAGAGAGAGACCTTTATGATATAGTACAAGTTCTCAGTTTACTATATTGTTCTTCTATTTTATCTACATTTGCCAGATATGAAGTTTCAACTTTTTGTTGCAACCACTCAGGTAATGGTGCATTCCAGTTTTCTGGTGGTTTGTCTCTTCTTTCCCAAACATCATTACTGTAATGACCATGTAGCCTTTCCATCCTACGGTTTTTCTCACTGTCTATTAGCTTTGCCTATATGAAAATATACTTCCTTTAAATACTGCGATTTCAAAACAATAGCTAGCAACGAAAAGATTCAACATACATATGCCCGTTCACTTTTATATTTTTCCCAAATATAACAATTGTTATAGTCTGTTTTCCATTGTGTGCAATCAATTGTATCTCCAAATACAAAGTATTGATGAAATCGTGCTTTTATACTTTTACAGTCTCTATATTCTTCATTATATATTTGACATGGTTTTATCTAAAACATACAACATATTAAATCATGATTTTCCTTAATGAATGACAATTTGTCAGTTTCACATAGAAATAGCACTCCATAATTCATTGAAAAACACTGAATAACAGAACTATACCATCCATTTCAGTTCATGTTCTTCATTAGATTTGTTTGTTTCTACATCAGCACTGTCTCTTTCTTCATTAGATTTGTTTGTTTCTACATCAGCACTGTCTCTTTCTTTATCAGATTTGACATTTTCATTATCAGATTTATCTTTCATTTCGGCTAAAATTGGCTCACTAGTTCTATTTGTTTCGGGCATTATTGTCGATTTTACAACAGGTTAGGGTTTACTTCTTCTTTGTATTGCAAAGAAAGTTATAGTATGTATTTATAACAACTAATAAATTTTGAACACTTAAAAAATATAAGAATATTATTATTTTGAATGCTTTGAGTACTTATCAATTTTCAATTACAAATATGTAGCAGAATATCGTCGTAGTGATAAGAATTCATTTCTTTACGTAAGGAGCAACATGATTTAACGAGATCTATTTTTTACATGTAACCTCAAAGTTAAATTTATTGATTTTAATTTTTATATTATTAAATATTTAACTATTAAATAATTTAATATTAAAAATATATATGTAATTAATCCCCATAGAGACGGCTTCGATATTTGGACTCTAAAATTGTGACTTATAATTATAATTCTTATGTTCATGTACGCAAATCCAACCACAGTGTAAGAATAAGTGGTGGTCTAACGCTATCCACACATACATGCAGACGAAGTATGTATGTGCTTAAAATACTCTGTGCACATACGCACGTGTATCTATTCCATATGAATTATCATGGTATAAATGTACCAATTAATAAATTTCATACAATTATTTATTATTAATTTTATGAATGAAATTATTTTCATTTATTGCATAAATGAAAATGTAACGCACTAAAATGACTTTGTTTTTATGTATGTACAGTAATACCTCAGGTTTTGTATGATCTAATTCTCTTAGCTTTTCCAAGCATTCCCACCATTTTACTGCGCATCCAATCCGCAGTGCATCCTGTTTTAGCATTGAATTGCCAGCCAATCAGAGCAAAGCAATTTCAAATCCTATTCTCGCTAACGGAGCGCGCTGTGACCGAAGAGTCTTACAGAAACTTGGATATCACTGTAATGTAGATCATAAAATCAAGACAGCTAAAAATTCATCCTAACGTCATTGAATAAATTCTTGTTTTTATCTTATTTGTGTGATATAATTTACATTAAGGAATATTTACTTGAATAAAACGTTCAGTTTTCATAAATATTTCCAAACAGTTCTCGAACATTATTCAATTTGTTCATGAAGTTCGTTTTTCCGTTGGTACCCATCTTTGTACGATCCGATTCGTTGATATTACTAAACATTTCAACCAATGGGAAAAAATACGCGTGTTCAATGTCCAATCAGACATGCATTCCTTCTACATGCCAACTTGTGAGTCTGCGTATTCAGTAATTTGTACCACTGATATTCATATTACCTCAAATACGCGATATTATATTTCAACTTTTATTAATAATAATTACTATTTTGTCAATGTCTGTAATTACTGTGTATTCCTTATATATATAATTTAACTGAATGAAAATGGCTGAATTTCTTGCGTATAAGTAATTCGAATGTGTTCACTCCAGTTATTGAGTGTCACTGGTTTCCGCCATTCCCTCCGCACCCCTGTGAACTATCCCAGACATATTATCTTGTTATGATTGTAGTTCCCGTTCTTGGCTTGAACCCGAAGACGTTTACGACCGTACTGTCGAAATTCGCGACTGCTGTCAGTTTCCTAACCTCTTCACCGACGAATGTTCCGGTGTTTCGTGTTGTGTTCAATTAATAGTGATTTATAACCACATAACATGATGTCGCGGTCAGTGCGTGCAGAGACTCGTAGTCGTGCCAAGGATGATATTAAGCGTGTAATGCAAGTTGTTGACAAAGTTCGCCATTGGTACATCTCTTAAACATATTATAGATGCGGAAAAAATTGTTGGAAATCTTTCAGAAAATATATAACAAAAAAAAAGTTCAATAGTATTGGATTTTTATACTAAATTCAAGTTTTCATTACTTGCACGATTTAGTAAAAGTTTTGTATTACACATGTCAATTGTAAACAAACCTCTAGTTCTGAAAAGTTTCATGTGTGTTGATTGAATAATAGTGTTTTATGTTTATTTTTTTAATAACAGTGAAGGAAGTATTTGTTGTTCTGATATTGATCTAGAAGATGTGTTTTTCATGCGTTCACTTTTATAGGGAGAAAAAATGGGTCACAATAGGAGAAACAACTATGAAGATCTATAAGTGGGTGCCCATTTCAACACTTGATCAGGTAGGTGTATTTGTCATATATGCAAGAATTGGAATTGAAAATATCCTGTTTTTCAGAAGAAGAAGGGAAAGACAGTTGCAGACAAAGAAAATGGTTTACCAAGAAAGAGTGGATTAGATTCTTCAAATTCTAACTTTGGACTTACAGAAGACTCTAACACATGTAAGTTAAACTATACTGATTAGAAATTGTGATTATATTACTAATTAGAAATTGTAACATAAACAATATTTTTTAATGTCTTAGGTTTCTCAACAGTTAGTGATTCTCAAGGTTTAACAGATTTCTCTGCACATTTGGGATTTTCAGAAGATTCAAATTCACAAAATAGCGAACCAACATCTAAAAGGTTAAAGACTGATTAAAATTTATTCTGTAACTGTTATTTGGAAACTGAGGTATTTAGGAAATCATTTACATCTTTTACAAATTTGCACCTGATAAAATTATCTTTAATCATAATCATCACTGGATACATTAAAAGAACTTTATTTCATTTTTTATTCTATTTCATGTTCAGTTATAACTCTTATATATGGAAAAAAAATGAATACTTTTACGATATTGTTTATTTTTTTATACGTGCATTTGTTACAAATTTTCATCTTTCAGTTTAGAATCTAAAATTAATAATAGTTCATTAAAACATTTATGTTGAATGTTTAGTCTGTTTGGGAGAAAGTAAAGGAAATGTAAGATCTCAGTACTCAAAACGGATTGTGCATTCTTAATAATC